CCTTACGACATTTTTGTTTCACTTGAAAAAGCAACTCGTCTTATTGCATGTTTTGATTTTTATTTCGATAATCCCGATTAATCATGCTCAAAATGATCTAGGGTATTTGGTCGCAATTATATTGATCATGAGCGTAATGAGCTACAATTTTTATTGGGAGAAAAAATATGTGTCTAAAAAGCTTTCGTCGGGCCGGGCTGGACCATGAAAACCTGGTCCATTTCGAGCCCTGACTCTGATAAAACGGCGAAAAACGCATGCTGATGTCAGAGTGCACAGACACACCGCACACAATGCATATCAACTTCCTAAAACTCAAAAGTAAAACAATGGTTCTAACAGTTCTCAAGAAAAACAATATTTCACTAAAAAAGATTTTGGATTCCAGAGGAGTTAATTTTCACGATCTTCACAACCGAAGTATTCCATTGTAGTAGACAAACCAATGCAAGACAATGACTGATCGAATACATTGCTACAAATTTTATAGCTGCACACATCAATGGGAAAAACAGGATTTCATGATTCAAACGCCTGTAAATCACACTACTAGGAAGTTACAACGAAAAAACACCTGATTAACTGAATTTTTCGTCCTAAAGCTCTATTGGTCGATAGTCGGACCCTGAAAACTTCTGATTGACTGAACCCCCGACACTCGAAATCCTATTGGCTGAACGCCACACCAAGAAAGCATTGATTAGCTTGAAGTTGAATGGAGAAGGCTAATGTCGTCTTTGGCGCTTGTTTGGTGTCTTGGAACAAGGTATCTGGAAAAGGTCAAAGAAACTTTTTTTCGCTCTGTGCGAACGAATGAAGACAATTCGTTCGGCGTATGTCCCTCCTTTCAGTAGAGGTAATAAGGAGATGGCCGATAGATATCATCAATTTGACTTAGGAATAAGCTGTGAAGGATGCATGTGAGCGTTTCAATTTAGGCATTAGGGATTATTGATCAATATACTAGTTTAGATATAGATACAAATGGTTGAGAGGTTAAATAAGGATTTAGATACCGCAATAAGATGTTAGGAATGGATATAAGAGTATACATGCAGGTTTGAGCACTTACGAATAGATATACGGGTAAAGATATAGCTATCAGGAATTGAAGGATAGATTGAAGAGCTTAGATACAGGAATAAGAGGGTAACGATTGATATAAGTATGCAGCTTTAGAAATCAGCTGTTAAGGATAAATATATAAGAGTTTCGATTGAGGTTTAATCAATGAATGATAGAAATAAGGGTTAAGATATAAATATAAGGGGTTAATGATAGATATGAGTGTTAATGATATATTTAAGAGTTAATGATAGATATAAGAGTTAAGCGTAGATTTAAGGCTTAGTGTTACATATGAGGGTGAAGGATACATTCAGGGATTAATGATAGATATAAGGGTTGAAGATAGTAAGTAAATAAGTAATACCCATACCTTACGGTTTAGGGTGAGATAGCTCAAGAGTACAAAATAAGCATGAAGACTGAGTTGAACATATGGAAGCAGTAAGAAGAGGAAAGGAAGTAAGCAAAAGAAATGTAAGCAAAAGAAATATAAGCAAAAAGTGAAAGGAAAGAAGGCAAAAGATAACAGATAAGAGAAGAGAAGCAAGGAAAGAAGAAAAAGAAAAAGAAAATGGAAAAAAGTGTAAGTATACCGTTTGGTTTCTGTTCTGTTCGTTCATTAGAAACTCATATGATGGGGAATTTGAATTTGCGGCTAATTCACTTTCTTTAAAAAAAATGAATTTGTGAGAAATTCGTTATATAGAGGTATAGAAGCATCTTGAGGGTGAGGAGGGTACCCTTGGAGTACCCTTAGAGGATCTCCTGAAGGTGGTATCCTTGAAGGGCTATTCTTAAGGTGGCTGTACCCTTCGGTGTGAGATTTCTTTATCTTTAACGAAGCTATTGCTCTTATACCTCTATATCGCTATATAGTTATAGCAGTATAAGCGTTTTTAATTTGCCACAAATTCAAATTCCCCACCAACTCGATTTGTTATGTCTTGTGGTTTAAATTTTTCCGACATTCTGGGCAAGTGTACATATTATTTACATCTTTCGCCAGAATCACTGTCACTTTTATTCGTATTGTTTAAGTTGATTCTTCGGCTCTTCTCTTGACAGTACGTTGTTCGTACTGGTATACAATGTTTTTGATATCTGAATGAACAGTTTTTACTTCCGTGTATTTGTTAATTAACATTCGCCATTTGTCTTTATTCTTCCTGTTATTTCTCCAATTATTAATTTTAAATTTTTCGATGTCTTCGAGAAGTTTAGATTCCCACCGCTTTCTAACACCTATACGACGAGGTCGTTTAATATCAGGAAAATAACAAAACATAACTTTTTTCACTGAAGATGCTTCATTGTTTTTTCCATTCGATTTTCGTTTCCGAACCGTCTCAGACGATTTCTTCTCATGATATTTTCCATCGCAGGTTGACCACTTAATTGCAGGATGTTCTCATTTGAAACATGATCTTGTAGGTTTAGGCCAAGTATTATTCTTAAGCATTTCATGTAAAATTTGTTGAGCCTATTTTCTTGAGTCAATGTTGGTGTCCATGTTTCACTTCTCTACATTAGTACTGGCATTACACATGATCTAGAAATGCGTAGCTTTGCGGTAGTGGACATTCTTTTCCTGTACCAGATTATACCACGTAACATATTAAAAGCAATTGTTGCTTTCGTTACTCGTGATTCTATTTCTTTATCAAGTTTCTGATCTCTGTAGATCAGATATCCAAGATAGGTGAACGAATCGACTACTTCAATTTTCTGGTGTCTGATAACAATGTCGTTGTTCGAATTGTCCATTTGTTGGTGTTTCGTTGTGTTTTCAGTGGAATCTTCTTTGAAACGTTGTAATGACATAATACAAGTCTTCTTTACATTTATAGTTAGTCCATATTTCTGGGTTATGTTGTCAAATATATGAACAAATTTTTCCAGATCATCCATATTGTTACACATACATACAAAGTTGTCCGCATACATCAATACCACTATATTCATGTTCTCGTATTTCTCATGAACACCGTGATAAAAATCGTTACTTCCGTAGGCAAATTTGATTCCATCAATTTTTGCTTCTTCTAAAACTTCCTTCATAATAAAGTCAAAGAAAATATTAAATAGTATGGGAGATGGTATTCCATCTTGTGTGACACCAATTTCAATGTCAAAACTTTCAGATTCTTCTGCATTGATTCTGACTTTTGCTCTTGTGCTTTTTGTAATTTAATTTTAATAACCTGACGATTTTCTCTGTTAATCCATAATGCTTGCATATTTTCCATAATAATTCTCTGTCCACAGAACCATAAGCTTTTGGAATGTCTATAAAACACATGAACAGTGGTTTGTTAAATTCTCGTGATTTTTTCATTAGCATTTCCAATATAAACACTTGATCAATTGTTGATCTATGTTGTCGAAAGCCAGCTTCTTGTTCTGATAGTTGAGCATCCACCACCGTTCGAATAAGATTAAGAATTATTCGAGTGAAGAGTTTACCTGCCACGATCAGTAGGGAAATGCCGCGATAATTATCACATCATTTTTTCTCACCTTTATTCTTGAAAAGGCGAATTAAAATAGCCAACGTCCAGTCTTCCACAATTTCTTCCTCCTACCATATATCAACAAAGATTTTGTGCAGCCATTTTATTACTGAAAGGCCTCCTGCTTTTATTAGGTCTGCTGTAATTTAGTCATTTCCAGGAGCTTTCTTGTTCTTCATTTGTTTTAATGCTTCTTGTATTCCTTGCCGAGTTGACCGTGTATCTTGTTTATCTTCTTCTTGTGTTGGAATTGTTGGTATTGATTTTTGATCGATAAGTGATGGATCTACTGCGGAATGAACATTCAGTAATTGTGAGAAATGCTCCCTCTAACGTGCCAGTATGTCTTTCGAGTTCGATTACAGTTTCCCATTTTTATCTTGTATTGGCATGCTTTCCATATTTTGTCTTCTTCTTCTTAATCGTCTGATCATAGCATAAGCCATCGCTGGGTCGTGTTGTATGATGGCTGATTGAATTTCTTCACTAATTTCATCCCAGTATTCAGTTTTTCGTGGATCACCTAATTTCTTCACTAGTTTTCTCGACGCTACATACCTCTTTCTGTATATTTTTTATGATAATGTTCCACGACAATTTTGCCATTGAATAAAAGCTGACGATTTTCGCTCTACCGCCTCTAAAATCTCTTCGGTCAACCATTCCTTTTTCTGTTATTGTTTTTATCTGTCTTCAAATGTGTTTTCGCAGCTTCGGTGATAGATTGAGCGAATATTTGATACTTTCTGGTGATGTTATTGTCTTTGTGTTCCGATTGTTGAAATTTGCTTGTAATATCATTTTGGAATTATCTTAACCCTTTGGAGGCCAGTGGGACATATATGTCCCACCTATTTGTTTTTGGTCAAAGAACTATAATAAATTAGGAAAAAATGATTCTGGTAGAAAGAATGATGATACTGCATAGATGGGGTTAATTTCTGGCTATTCGAGTTAAAGTTCAAGTTATATAACAAAGAAAATGACGTCATATATTTTCTTGTCCAACTGTACAATAAATAAGGAAAAAAAGAAAGAATATGAGAATTTAAATGATTCTCATGAACAGGAAAAAAAGAATGATCTATATATAAATATATGACGAATATAGATAATCCAAAGAAAAGAAAAGAAGAAAAAAAAAGAACATATATATGTAGGTATTTTCTTCGGCGAAAATGCACTAAACCTTCTATAGAATGTTCTAGGTAGTTTCACAGTAGTATATAAGGCGAAGCTATTACAGAAAATTATCAGTTTTCAGCTTGAAGTGATACAGTACACAACTACTTTTTGAATTGACGAATAAAACTAGAATACTCTTCTACGAAATTTTTAATTGTGTTTTGATAAATATGAGTCGTTTTACAAATTTGACGACGAGAACAATTGAATTTGAAGAAAATATGTATATTAGAAGATATGTGTGTGAGTGATGAAGATGATTCTAATGGTGGTGAAGCTGATTCTAAAGATGATTCTGAAAATAATTCTGAAGCTGATGAAGATGATTCTGAAGATAATTCTGAAAGTGATTCTGAATGTGATGAAGATAATTCTAATGATGATTCTGAAAGTGATAGTAGTCCAACATTGCTGCCTTCATCAGTTTCTCGTTGTCCATGGACGGTACATTTTCACCCTCCACCCGCACAACAATTTCAGTCGTCAAGAAAGTGTTCTGGTGTATTACCATCATCTCCTATTCAAACGTTTAGAAGACTCTTTAGTGATGATGTTATCAATCTGATACGTCAACAAGCAAATATTTATGGAACGCAGAAATGTCAGAAATCAGAAAATAAGACTAATGGGACTGATGTTACAAAAGCTGAAATAGAACAATTCCTTGGCATTAACATCATTATGGGATATTGCAGAAATCCATCAGTCGGTTCCCACTGATCTACAGACGCATCATGTCGAAATGAAAAAATTTCAACATCAATGTCGCGTGCAAATTTCAAAAAATTTTACAAAATTTACACCTTGTTGACAATTCAACAACAACAAAAGGAGAAAAAGTAGCATCCCACAAACTATACAAAGTACTAAATTTTCTCGAACTATTGTTACACAATTTCCAGACACACTTCGACGTAGGAGAAAAGTTGACAATTGACGAAATGATGATAAAGTTCAAGGGAAGATCTTCCTTCAAACAATATATGAAACAAAAAGCAATCAAGTGGGGCTACAAAGTCTGGGTACTTGCTGATGTATCGACCGGTTATGTCTATAATTTTGAGATATGTATATTCCGGTAAATCACTAGAAAGACAGGTACCTTTAGGTGAACATGTTGTTTGGTCATTGATCGGAGGACTCTCAATGAAATTTTACCATGTCTATTTCGACTACTTTTTTACATCTCCACTTCTTGTTGAACGACTTCTTGAAGATGGGATTTACTGTACTGGTACTGTTAGAACCACCAGAAGAGGCGTTTCACCTGAAATTAGTCGTGATATCAAAATGGCTCGTGGTGATGTAAAACTTTTAGCCCAAAATTTTATTTCAGTTCTCAAATGGATGGATCGGAAACTGGTATACATTATGTCCAATTTTTTTGACCCGACAGAGATGACAGTAATTACTCGTAAAATGAAAAATTGGCAAACAATTCAGCTACGATGTCCAGTGATGATCCAGGACTACAACTATGGAAAGATTGCAGTTGATCGGGCTGATCAACGAATTCAGTATTATCCTGTTGACAGAAAGTCACATAGAAATTGGATTCGGATATTTTTCCATTTCTTCAATGTGGCATTATCAAATGCTTTTGTCATCTAGCAAAGGGATCATCCACATAACAATATGAGATACTTGCAATTTTTAGCTACTATTGCCGAACAACTAATTGGTTGCAGGTCTTTAGTAAAAAAGAGAAAAGGAAGACCCATAACGAACTTTGGTGTCAAAAAGCGCAGGAAAGGTGGAAGCAAAATATCTATTTCTAATGAAATTCGATTTTCTAATGTAGGCGTTCATCTTCCAATCCCTACTTACCGAAGAAGATGTGCCTATTGCAGCACTAAAAATGATGAACAACGATCTTCAATAGAATGTTCAACTTGCTAAGTGGCTTTATGTATTTCAAATAGAAGAAATTGCTTTTACTTATTCCATACTAAATAGAACTTCATGTTTATATCTAAAAACAAAGAATTTCTCTTGATAGTCATACTTTTTTTGCTAATTTTGTTTTCTTGTGACTTATCAAAAGACTTTCTCTGATATTGTTTGAGTTTTGTTTATTCCTCAATGTAACCGTGTGCTCTGGTTGTCCTTATAAACTCCCCTTGCTTTGTACCATATAGAAGAATGATAAATCGGACTTCATTTTACTTGTAGAATAAAAACTCAACATATCAAAGCAAGAAAAGAAATAATTCATTTTTCTCGCTTTACTAAACCTTCTGTATAAACTATACTCATGTTAGTCGCTATAAATGAGCATGCCAAACGTGAAGTATACCCATATTGATGACCTGATCCTCGCGCATGACAATCTGGATCAAGGTCTACCTAACTGCACCCTAAACATTGACAGAAATTGGCTATACAAAATTTGGCCCGCAAAGGGTTAATATTGCTTTGGTTCTTAGCAGAGATGAGCACAGGACAGGACGGTCCTGTCGTCTTGGTGCCCTGTCCTGTCCTGTCCCGTAGGACAGGATGAGATTTTTATTTTTGTCCTGTCCTGCCGCCCGCCAGGACAAAAAAGTTAGCAGGACAAAAGCAGGACAGGACAAGATTTTGATTTTTGTCCTGTCCTGCGGCCCGCCAGGACCGAGATAGCTAGCAGGGCAGGACAGGACAGGAGAGAAAATCTTATCCTGTGCTCATCTCTGGTTCTTAGACAGGTGTCAGAATCTATATTGTTTCAATACCTAATACCGATTTACATGTTCGAACAAGTGTGATCAGTAGAGATGTGCGGGACCAGTTTTTTTTGGTCCCGGTCCCGGTCTTGGGGAAATTTTCTTTTTGCATACGGTCTCAATCATTTTCATGTTTCTGTTGTGTTCCAGTTTAGAAGAAGCCTGCAGAATTTAGTGGTCTCATATCTACATTAATCTATCATTACCCATAGTTTCAATTTGTTTTGTCGATGACAGAGGTGTGCAGGATCAAGATATTTTCGTCTGGTCTCCTTCTAGTTATGATCCTGGCAGCTCCCTTTGTAGCGATGTTACTCATATTAGTCGTAAGTTCGGTATCAGTATGTTTTTAATCTTTCTCCTGTTAGTACCTGTTTTCAGTGATTATCCTTCTATTAGCTATACGTTTAGTTTATACTTATTTTATAAATTAAGATTTTTTCTTTTGCTTTTGACGACCTCTATCAAATGATTAAGCATTGATTGCTTTAACTATTTACTCCAATCCCGTCAACGCAAGAATGACTAACATTATGCAGTATATTCCATTATTCAATTTTTTTTCTAATGCTTTAAAAAATTTCTTTTTTAATTCGTGTCTTTTAGATGTCTACATCAACAATCAGAAATACCTTAAAGAAATCACAAATAGAAGATCTTGTAAAAAAAAAGATCAATCTTTATCATTCGTAAAACCTGGTAGTGGTAAAAGCGCTTAGTGGGACAAATATCAAGAAATTTTAGCCAATAATATTCGTCAACAATTTATCATATGTAACGATTGTAGTTTAGTATTAACCTGGACAGCATCAGATGGTACAAATGTAATGAAAAAACATGCACCTGTTTGTTCAAAAACAAAAGAATGTCAACCACAAAATCAACCTCGTATAACATCAATGTTTAAACCAACTGCTACAATAACACCTGGACAACTTCGTTTTTTGAAGAACAAAATACTTGGTGGTGCTACAGAACTTTGTGTACTCGATGCACATCCATTTAGTATTATTAATGGTGATGGATTTAAAGAATTTTGTCAAAAAATATATGATGCTGGTAAACATTGTGGTAACATGGTTGATTTTAATCAATTGCTACCTCATTGTACAACGGTAAAAAAAGCATGCTATTTTTCAGTCATTATTTTAATACATTTATAAAATTTTCACTTTAGATTAGTTGAAATATTGACAATTTATATTTCTTTTATAATCAAAAACTTCGTGATTTATGTAAAACAATAACATCATTTGTAATAACAGTTGACTTCTGGACAGAAGAATTGAGTGGTGTTAGTTTTGCTGGTATTGTTTTACATCATTATCAAGAAAATAATGGATTAATTTCTTTAATATTATGCTGCAGATGACATGATCTAGCAGATGCGACAGCAGCTAAAATTCGATTATTTGTTGATGAAGTTTTATCTGAGTTTAATTTAAAATTAACAGTTAAACAATATGTTATGACAGACACCGAACCGAAAATGATTTGTGCCTCCAAAGAAAATACAGTAAGAATTGGATGTTCATCTCACTACTTGAACAAAATCTTAGAAAAATCATTTCCTCATATTGGTATGTGAATTCAAGCTTTTTAACTTTTCAGCAATTAAAAAAAACTGTTTTTCCCATTTTTAGATTCAAATCCAGAAATTTGCAAACTATTCAATACAACAAAAAGTATTGTTACACATTTTATACGGTCACACAAACAAGCAATGTTAACTCGAAGATTGCAAGTTTATTCGAAAACAGGTTGGAATAGCATGTATTCAATGTTCTTCTCGTTCAATGTAAATTTTCATGATATACGAACATTGTTGGATAAAAACAATCAAGAATTATTTGATACAATCGGCCATGATTTGCTGAACCAATTAACTCAATTTTTAAAACTTTTTGTCGATTTAACAAAAGTATTATCCAATGAAAAACAGCCAACATTACACCTAGTTTTACCATGTCGCCAAAAACTGATATAAGTAGCTGGAAAATCGTCACCAGCTGACTATCGAGCTCTACTGAAGTTTAAAAATAATTCTCCCCAAAAGTTAGAGAACGATTGGCCAGTTCAAGTTGAACACTATATTGCAGCAGTTTTACATCCACAATTTAAACACTTAGATATTTTCATTAAACAAATTCGACGGCATGCACATGAATTAGTTAAAAATAAAATTCAAACTTATCCAACAACGTCTTCATCATCATCAACAACAAATTTATCAAATGATACTGATTTGTTCCCCTCACTTTATGATAAACCAAAAGATACCATTAAAAAGAGAGAATTTGAAATGTACCTCAATTCAGATCTACGATTGCAAGAAGGTGAAGATTTATTAAAATTTTGATATCAACAGCGTGAAAATTACCCACAACTATTTGAATTAGCAAAATCTATTCTAATTATATCTACTTCGAACACTAGTATCGAGTGAATTTTTTCATTTTCGGATTCAACAGTTACTGAGAAAAGAACACGATTAGCAACTGAAAAAATAGATAAAATTATGTTTTTAGACAAAAATTTAGTTTATTTAAAGTCGCTTGTGGACCAAATGAAGCAATATCATCAGAAAATACAATTTCATCGTCATTTATTTCAAGTAAACGTGTATTGTCAATGGACTCATCAGAATCTTCCTAATAAACAAAAAAAGGACAATTTTTTGAATATGATGAAGTATCATCCATTGAAGAATTACAACAAATGTATTTGGATGATGATATATGTTGAAGTTAATAGTGGTAAAACACTTTTTTATTGCAAGTTTGCATAGGTTAGTAACATGTTTATTGGTTAATGTATATTGTTTACAGATTTTATTTGTATTTATATCGTGTTATTTATTATTGTGTCTTTTTCTTTTTGTACTAAAAGACATTACCATGAAAATAATAAATTGATTTATACGGAACGACAGCCCATATTTCAAAAATGTCCGAATAAACAATATTAGAGGGGATAACTTAGGAAATTGTCTCGTTAGATTTTCATTGGTTCTGGTAACCGGGACCGGGACTGGTCTCGCACATGTCTACACGTCACACATGCGACTCTATTATGTTTGAATATTGAACACGTATGAATATTTAGGTCTATCCCATGATTGAGAAGAACAGAGATAATCAGTATTCTTCCAAGTCAAATTCGTATGATCAGGTTCGAAACAGCTGCAATTCGAAACGAGCATCGAATTGCTTTCAGAAAACAGTTATTTTGACCGACTCAAGCTTACGATACACTATCGCAGACGCCCATATTGAGGCAAATAGGCTTATTCCGCCGAATTATAAGATGATCAAAAATACAAAACTCTGACAAATCGTGTTTTTTAGCAAATTATTTCTTTTTTTAAAGTTACTCAGAGCTCTAAGACACGCAACAATGAAAAGAACGCATATCATATACAAGAGTTTTACGACCTACTAAAAATTATTAGAAGCAGAATGGGTCATATAAGCAGGTTCTCTATTGAAATTATAGCAGCTTTTGTTCGACATGAACATGAGATCATTATCGGCGCATATCGACCGAAATTTCCTCACTTCGAGCATAATTTTTACTTTGATCAAAGAGATCCATATAGACTACACATATTTGTTCAGTTGTTAATGCCCTACCTTTTGCCATATTGAATAAAAATAGTACAACGGTTTCTTTAAATGTTGTTTTCTTCCAACAAGGTATAGTAGTGATATTTAGTCGGTATCGATTAACTTTTCAAAGAAATATCCTTTCTACTAGAAATAATGTTGCTAATAGTTTTTATTTTGTAGATTAATCATGGAATCTGAAGATTTTCAAGAAATAAACACAATTGTGGAAGAATATGAGCAGAATAATAATATTCTCGACAGCAAGACAATTGAAGCATTGCGCTTGCAAAATCCGGCGCAAATTCTATCAAATCTTTATTTGTCTTCCGCTGAACCAGCAAAGGACTTGATTCTCTTGAAACAACTACAAGTGAATTGTGTCCTCAATTTAACGAGTTACAAATATAACTCGAATGAATTGCGCTTCGCAACTAATTATCCACCTGAAATTACGGCTAAGCATATTATAATGGCTGATGAAATAGACGTCAAACTTTCTGATCACTTGGACGAAGCACTAGACTTTATTCATCATACCATTGGGAACAATAGTTTAAATAGGATTTTAATTCATTGTGAAGCAGGAATCAGCCGTTCTCCTTCCATAGTCATTGCTTACTTGATGCGGTATTACAATCAATCTCTCAAAGCTGCTTATGATTGCGTGAAACGATGCAAAAATAATGTGGGTCCAAATACCGGTTTTTTCAAACAATTGATTCAATTCGAACAACAACTCAGTAGTAATAATAGTACTAGTGGCAACAATAATTTCAAACCATCGATTTCTTTGCACGATTATTTAATACAACAAATGTCGGAAGGTACAGCTGCCAGTTTTACTCGTGATCAAATATCAACAGCATTGGAAAAAACGAACGATCAACCTCATCTAGCTTACAATTTATTATTTTCGTCTATGTGATGTCTTTTATTGTGTCTGCAGTAGTTACAAGGGGGAAACGGCGGACTTTTGTACTTGAAGTAACTTTGGCTACTTTAAAGTACTTTAAGCTACTTTAAGCTACTTTGGAGCTACTTTAAGCTACTTTGAAACGACTTTAAGCTACTTTAAACTACTTTAAAGTACTTTAAGCTACTTTAAACTACTTTAAAGTACTTTAGGCTACTTTACGCTACTTTACGCTACTTTAAGCTACTTTAAGCTACTTTGAATCACTTCGAACTACTTTACGCTACTTTAAGCTACTTTAAGCTACTTTGAATCACTTCGAACTACTTTAAGTCCTTTTAAAGCACTTAAAGGCACTGCAAAATGTTTTAACATAACAGGCATTCAAAGTAAGCCACGGCCGATTACTATAGAGGCCGCTCAGTCGATNCAAAATTTCATCTAGCTGACAGGTCATTTTCATGAGTTGTTTTGCATGTTTTTCAAATATCATTAGTTTTAAAAGAATTTCGTCTTATACATTATCGAAGAAAAAGACGTGCCCGCTCCTCCTCTTTCGATTGGTGAAAACCGCAGGTAGCTAGGTATTGCGGTTGTCGAGTTATTGAGCTTACACTCACCCCTCTTTTATTCTGGCGCGGACATTACTTGGATGTGCCAATGAGCCAGATTCAAATGAGTTTTCTTAAAAATTTGTAGAGAGATGTGCACTCTGACAATAGATTAGTTCAGTCGACTCTTAAACTTCCAAACAATCCGTTTTTTTAGACTAAACTACTCTACTAACTCGTTTAAACTGAACAGTAATAGACAGAAAAAAAGTATGATGTAATGCAAAAAAATTTTTAAATATCTGTATCATTGCTTAAAAATTAATTGATGAATAATCACATGCATTCAGAACATGGGCTTGATGGTATAGAATAAGAAGATATTTCTTAATTTATCTTTTAATAAGAACTTCATGAGGGATAGTTACGTACGAACTGTTCTATCACGACTATGAAAACTAATGACAATTATTAAATTTATATCAACATGCATGTAGATTCGCGTCAATGCTGAGATTAACGGTAGACAGTAGTTTTGTGTGCCTATATTTTGATATGTTTCATGATATTTTGTATTTTTATGTTTTAAAAATGCAGAAGTATATCGAAGTGTAAAAAAGTATAGGCAACTTCAAAGTTCAATGCCTGTCTTTTATCAAGAAATATCAATTTATGTAATTTAAAGCTCATTAGATATATAAAGTAAAGTAAGAATAAGTTAAATAAAAAAAAAGTATTTTAATCGTTATTATATCATAATTTATTTTGTTCGGTCTTGTTTAAATGATTTTTATATTTTTTAATAGAAAATTTTTTATTTATGTGAAAACTTAGAAAAACTCTAACGTCTTAGATGATTATAAACATGTAAAAGCTAATCTTTACATATTTCAATTAAGACTAGTTCGAACTCGATCACGATACAAGAGTACATCTCGTCGTATGCAGCGTGGTGGATGTACTTCTTTTTTTCGATTTAAAATAGCTTTTAGACAGCCGTCAGTTAGAAAGTCAAGACGTTAGTATCTACAGCAGGTCTCAACACATCATTTTATAAGTATCCGGATCCTCTCAGAAATACTGGCATTGGTTATTTGCCAAAGTTATGAATTGATCGGCTGATGCTTGTTATGTTGATCATATATGATGACTGCAGCAGATTAATGCATTACTACCCACCGTCGTTGACATGTTCAATACAAACTTTTATCTGCACAAAAATTAGAAATTGCACTATCTAAAACATTCATAAACGTTTTCTAGCCATTGACATTTCGAGAAAGACTTCGAGATATTCTAGAATTTTCGAGAACAATCTAAGTTATGTCTTTAATGCCGCTCAACACCATTGTTCGTTGCTAAGGAAGTCTGGTAAAAGAGCCTAGTTTCACTTGGTTTAGGTTGCTATTAAAATGCATCCAATGACCTTTAACCTGACGTCTATGAAAATGGAGAAGCCGCAAAAAACTCGACTGAAAACTTACACTCACTATTTTACTTCGAAAAATATATATGGGTTCTATAAAGTCCACTGGTAAACTTATTGATAGTACAATTGCTGATTTACTGGCAATTCGATATCAATCATTTACATCGAAAATGAGGAATATGAAAAAATTTTATCTTTCTAGAGTATCAGTTACTTGACAAGGCTTCATAAGAGGAATGTCTTCTGTAGATTATAACCTTAGTGCAACTTCGAACAGAAATGAATGCTAAGAATTTCATGACACAAGAATAAAAAGAATATTTTCGTTCGTTCTTTTTCAATTCAACTTTACCGAAAAATGCTATTCACCAAAATGTTTGAGAAAAAAATTTTGTATTTCGACTAATGAAAACTCATTCTACGAAAGTTCACTTTCAAGATAATAGTATTTTTCTAGTAAGATGCAGTTTTCGGTCGATCATATCTCATTTCGGTGTGTACATTATATAGCAAAGACAAAAAAAAACTTAAACTAAATATAATCTACCTTTCGTACTTGATTACTATTATTCTATAGAAAGAAAAACAAACATTTCCAATAACTTAATCTTTAGAATATTGAGATCCTATAAAAGAATAATACTTTTCAAGCAATAAGAGATAGTCTTGGTATTGGTGACTTCTGCAGCTGTTGTATTGGTTTGATAAAATAACAAATGAATAAAGTTTATTAGGAAGACAAAAGTCTTTGGCATTATCCTTCTAGAATTAAAATGTGACATTTCACAACGTCGCTTTCTTGGTAATAAGAAGCGTGCGACACGAGACTTATGTCACTAGGTAGAGTCTGCTCAGATT